AAATCTAGTTAAAATCAAGTAGATTTGGCTCGAAATCTCATAAGTACTAGATTTCGTGTATGTGTAAATGGGGTATTAAATCACATTTTCTTAAATAAAGTTTAAAGAAACTTTTTAAAATTGAACTTTCACGTCAAAATTTGGCTCATTAGTTTATTTTTTAAAATATTCTCAAGTTTTAATATCTGTCTAGATATACATTCTTAAGTCAAGACCTCAGCGTACCTTAAAGAAATCTGGCATTACTTTAAACTTTTATATACATATACATCATACCCTGTTGTCAACATAAACATTTTTAGCTGGCAATACCATTGTTACTAATATACAAAACCAGAAAAATCTGGTCTTTCTGGATGACTTTCGAACCGTTAACTACAATTTCAAGTTTTCCGTTTAATTCCAATTTAATAGAATACCACAAAAGTTTTTGATTTTTGATAATCTTTGAACATCACGTTTTTTGGATTTTGTCTTTAATATAAAGAACACATAAAAGCGTATAAGGACATTTCTCTAAAATATGTCAGAGTCTGGGGGTCCTGGGCCCCCGCCAGTCCAGAGGAGGAGTCGAGATCGGAGTTCACTTTCTGTAAGTGATAGAAGCCGTAGCAGCTCTAGTACCACTTCTAAGAGAAAGCGTGAAGAGAAGGAATTAAATAATGACGAAGGCTCAAATTTGAAAATGTTGGCTGAATCAGCCGTCGCCATTGCAGAAAAGATAAGTATGGAATATAAATATAATGACGAACATCGAGGACCTTTCATAGTTTATGTTGATGCGGTGGATCCTTCAGGTTCCCGTAAACCCATTAATGCAATCTCCCTAAACAGAACATTGAAAAATATGAAGTTGAAGGTATAACTGAAGTTTTGAAAATAGGTTATGGACGTTGTAAGGTGACCTTCAAACAACGAAATTTGGCAAACAACTTTGCTTATGATAAACGTATTAAACAAGATGGCTACTTGCCGAAAATATTTGCACATTTTGTGTCAAAGATTGGTTTAATCTTTGATATACCCACAGATTTGTCTATGGAGGATTTTCAATCTTCAATAATTTCAGAAGTACCAATATTAAAGTGCATAAGAGTCGAGAGAAAGGATCCTGAAGACCGAGAATTAAAAATACCAACAGGCAGAGTAAAGATATTTTTTGATGGCCTTGAAATACCAAAGGAAATTTCGTACGATTACACTAAAATAAAAGTAAAGCATTACATTTCTTTTGCACAATGTTACCGTTGTTACCGCTTTAATCACTTTGCGCAACATTGTAAACAGCAGATGGAAGTTTGTAGAAATTGTTTCAATAAACACGAACAGGCTCAGTCTTGTGGTCAAATGATGTGCACTAATTGTAAAAATGATCATCACCCTACTTCAAAATCATGTCCGGCAAGAATTAAGGCCTATACTATAAAGAAAATTATGACTTTGGAAAATCTCTCAATTAATGAGGCAAGAACAAAATATTCTGGTGCTTTTGGAAACCGTTTTGCTGTTCTTGATGATGAAGTTTAACTCCTAAGTCCAATTCAAATATTATCAACAATAGTAAAGAGGCTGCTAAGACCATACACAGTATAATGTCATATTCTGGAATAGTTCGCAGAAACCCTAACCGTGAAAAAGAGGCTGATTTTTTGACCAAGGATTCTAATTATGTTAATAATAAACCCAATACAAATTTCAATAATCCACACAAAACTTCAAGTGTAGAAAAACTTGCTAGCCAACTAAACGTCGATACAGCTCGATCGGAATCCGGTAAATTATTATCCGATATAAATTCAAAATTAGATGGCTTTTTAGCCGGATGGGAAAATTATAACTTAAGTTTTGATCAGAAAGAATTTTTAAGAGGTCTCCAGAATCAAATTATCGACAGCTTAGGATCTAAAGAGGTCACACCGTAGGTGTTACCTCCTTTTTATATTTTGATAACGAGTACATATATGAAGATTTTACAATTTAATATACAGAGTTTGAGAAAGCCTGGCAATAGGGAAACACTGGAGTTACTTCTTGATAATTATGACTTTTCATTCTGTATGCTATGTGAAACATGGCTAATAGATAACTCAAGTACAAGTATGGCTAATTATAATTTCGTTTGCAAAAATCGACCTGACGGCTATGGAGGTGTAGGCATTTACATAAAAAGGAACATCAAGTATAAAATTTTGAACTTTTCAACGAATATGGATGTAATTGGTATATCAACATTGAATTTAAAGAAAAACATCAACTTAGTATCCGTTTATATACCACCGAATATGTCAAATGTTTTTAAGATTGAGCTTGAGAAGATTTTTTTACATTTTGACAACACAGCGACTCCTACCTTTATATGTGGGGATTATAACGCAAAATCTACAACATGAGGCTGCCAGATGACTGACAGCAAAGGCCAAATTTTAGAGAATATATCATCAGATTATGGTTTCTCGTCTATCAATGACGGCCATTCAACTTATATATGTAACGATTGCGAATCAGCTATTGACGTTTCTTTTGCAAAATGCATTCCACCTATAATTACTTCATCAAGTTTCAAATGAGAACTGTAAATTATTTCAATTCGCCGACGACTTCTTTTTGGTTGTTTATGCAGATACTTTTCAGGAGGCGAAGAATCTTCTGCACGACAAAATATCGGAATTTACGGAAATTTGTGCCAATATTGACCAACGTTTGAATCATAATAAAACTAACATCATGTGTTTTAACACATACAACACACGTCTTGACATCACAGTCGACAATATTAGCTTGAATCAAGTCAATGAGTTGAAATATTTAGGGAGAATTATTTCTTCCAAAAACTCAATAAAACCTCACGTTGATTACATCGTTGCTAAACACAATAGGACTTGTAACTTTCTGAACATTTTAAGTGGATGCAGGTTTGTAATACATCCCAGAAGGGCTCTACAATTTTTCAAAGCATACAGTCGGTCTAAACTTGAATATGCAGCATCTTCATTTGCAAATTTATCAACATATGCTTCAAATAAAATTAAAACTACTATTAACTCTAGCCTAAGGAGATGTTTAGGATTAATTCGCTCTACTCCAGTGCATTTAATATATCACCTTGCCGGAGAACTACCACCCGAATATAGAATACAACTTTCCACAGCCAAGGAATTGGCTAAGGTATTTGCATTTGGCTTACCGGCAGTCCAAATATTTGATGGAGACAACATTCCACATTTTAATACCAGTTACACTGCAATCTTTCGTATATATGGTCATATATTTAAAAGAATCCAGCCACTTCAAAGTATTCGTTTGAATTCATCGAAAATATCGTTTTATGAGGACTTTTACAATGGATTACCTAAATCAGCTTCTAATACAAACCTACTTTTTTCCGAAAAGACAAATAATCTTAAAATTGAAAACTTCGAAATTTTATTCACTGATGGTTCTGTGGGGGATTGCACATCTGGAGCGGCTTACGTTCACATGGGTACTGGAAGGACAAATAGCTACTACACTGACTTTAAACTTTCGTCTATGTATGCCGAATTGCTGGCTATTGAAAAAGCTATTGAATTCTCTGCTGAGATGAACTTTACTAAACTAGCCATTTTAACGGATAGCAAAAGTGGAATTCTTGCTTTGAAGAAGGACTACTCAGAAAACTATTTCATTCACAATATTTTACGTTTGATAAATAACAGCAATATTGAAAAAGTAGAATTTCACTATATTCCTGGACATTCCAACATTATTTACAATGACTTAGCTGATGATGCGGCGAAAAATGCTCATGAAGTAGGAAATTTCGTTGATACTAAATATCCATTAAAGGACGCAATCAACATGATCGAGAATGATCTAATTTCCAAATGGTATGATGACTACAAAAACAGAAAACTCTCGAAAGGCAAAGACTATGGCCGGATTTTTCCGCAGGTGTCAAAACGAGCATGGTTTTCTGATAAGAACATTTTTTTTAAGCCCTTGGAAATTAAACAAATAAACAGACTATTAACTGGTCACTCGTTTTGTAAAAGTACCCTGGCGAAAATGAAAGTTTTTGCTGACGATTTGTGTGAAGAATGCAACAGTCCTGAAGATAATTCTCATATAATTTTCCACTGCACAAAATTTGATATCCAGAGACGGAAATACCCAAATATCCTGAAATATGACAGCATTGTCGATTTTTTTGTTGCTGAAAAATCTTCTTCATATGCAGAACTAATTAATTTTCTAAATGATATCGAACTCAATATTTAATGAATATTTGACATTTGATTTATCATATAATTGGTGATGGCAGTTTGTCGCACAGGGTATACAGAGGCGTCACGAGCAAAAAACTATTTCCCTCTCTTTCGCACAAAACGAATTCAATAATTTTTTTTAGCTGTATTTTATATACCTCTTCTCACCAAACAATTTCAAAATCAAACAAAAGCTGATTTTAGACTTTTTTAAATGTCAAAAGTGACACCTTTGTGGTTTGTCGTATGACAGCCAAATAATTATCTAGTGCAGGCAGAGATACAAGCCGATGCAAAATGATCGGCGGCGGCGGCGCAACCATTTTAGGTCGGCGGCGGCGGCTTATTATAGAAAATATCGGCGGCGGCTAAATTGTCGGCTCAATTCAACTTTTTCTTCAGAAATTGACCTTATAAGCGTTTATTATATTGAAAAATCTCTGTATAATAGTCTTTTATATAGAAACATGTCTCTATATAAGATTTTTCTGCAGAAAATGGACTTTATTGTACTAGTTATCACTATTTTAATATTAGCACAATATTGTGTGGCAACTCTTTTCAATTTGCCATAAAAATTTAAAATAGTGGCAACTCTGTTCAAATTGGTGAAATTATTTTCTGAAAGACATGTGCGATTCCAATCTTTATCAGCGGCTACGTTTAAGCCGGCTTAGCTTTTGAGCCGAAAGAATTCGGCGGCCGCGCGGCTTGCAAAATATTACCGGCGGCCAGCCGCCGCCGATTTGAGCCGTCTCGGCTTGTATCTCTGAGTGCAGGTCGCTAGAACCTCCATATGTTTTTTTTCGAGTTATCGAAATGCGTGTGGAGTAATCGTAAATACAAAAAAAAAATAATAATATACAAAACACCCTGTTTATTTATTATTATAAATAAAAAGTGCACGTGTTAGGACGCAACAAAATTCTAATTTCTTGTGTGAATATTTTAAAAGAAACTTTAAAAACATGTATTTAATGTACACTTTAAATGAAAATGGCGAACGTGTCTATACTTTGAAGGTAACATTTTTATCATAATACGTAGAAACTCCCAAAACTTAATTCTATTCCGTTTTTCAGAAACGCACCGAGGATGGCCGTCCTACAATTTCAGCTCATCCTGCCCACTTTTCGCCAGAAGATAAATACTCCAGACAACGCCTTACAATCAAAAAACGTTTCGGTTTACTTTTGACACAAAAACCTGAACCCGTTTATTAAACCCTCCCACCATGAGTGTGATTTTCCTATAGTTTGTAGTGTTTAACATGTAAGGCTTTTTATAGTACTTTTCAACAATAAATTACAATGATTTATTAATTAACTAAACAATTAAATAGACTTTATTTTATTTAAACCTTAAAAACGTCTATTAAGACCGGCAGTATAATCGTAAAGTTGGGTATTCTTAAATTCTCCTTTCATATCAAGCACATAGAACAGTGAACGATTACGCACCTTCAAGGGTAAAAGCACTTCGGCCATTTCTCTAGGCTGTTGGGCGGATATACTCTTTAGAGGTACTGTCATTATGCGATTATGGCCAAAGGGGCCATAAGTTACTAGAGTAACATCTCGTCCACCTTTACGCAATATTAAGAAACGCACAGAGCGCAAAGTAAACATCCAAACGGCTGCCAAAATACCATAGCCTAAAAGGAAAAGGACTTGATTAGTATGGAGTTTTGTAATTGAGTTGTTTTTATATACCTATTAGAAAACTCATGGCCGTAATGCCATTGCGATATTTATTTTCCCCTAAATTTATGCGTTCAAACCATCTCAACTCTACGCCTTCTTTTTGCTCCACCGGCGCATCTCTCAGTGTGGTAAAGGCAAAATGAGATAAATACGTCCAAAACACAAATTGACATATACCAAATATATTTAATGTCTTAAAAAATCCCGGATTTTCATATTTGTATAGTATTACATCTTTGGTAACATTGGTGTTTATGTCATACGCTCTAGTGCATAAGTTGGAACGCTGTAGACCGTTAAAAGATTTGGTGACTGGTGGTTGGTGTCTAAACACTCTAGTATTCAATGTCAAGGCCTCCTTTAGACTTTGGGCCAGTGGTTGGCGGCTTAAAAGGCGTATAGGTGTTGTTTTATTGCAAACATTTTTACTTGGATTTGCAAGTAATCTTAGTAAATTGCTCATTCTGTTATTTTATATTATTATTTTTTTAAACATAACCTTAAAGTAACAGCTGTCCTGTTATGTTCAGCTGTTTGCTATAAATATAGAGTTACCAATACTTCAGGTGGCAAAATAGCACATAGTTGCAATTAAATGTAGTAGAAAATTGCGCCTAATTAAAGGAAATTTAAATTTTGGACTTTTTCTTTCTAAAATGCTCTCTAAAGGTACTTATAGTAAAGCGACATGGCCAAACGGTAAGTTTTTTAATTGTCTTAGTGAAAAAAAACTCAAATGTATATATAAGGCGCTCAACAGAATAAAATATAAACATTGTTATCCTGTTTTTAATATTTTACTATTGATAAATATCTCCTAAATTTTTAAATAATAAATCCAAACATCATAGCCACTATGAGCAATATGGCAATATTTTGTTCATTGTTTACAAACAAAAACTTAACAAAAAAAACAACAACAACAAAACTTAAAAGTATTTTATAGCATGATTTAAATTTTTAAAATCTTTTATTGTTTGATTTCATGTTTAACGTTTACGTTTTATTATTTCTCTAGAGCAAATAAAATACACCATCGAAAACGTTAAAAGTTGTTCCTTTTTATTAAAAAACATTTAGAATGGACAAACAAACCGATAAATTATGGAAAAAAACCATACGGGATCAACAAAAACGTATTAAGCCAGGAGAGTGTCAAAAATACATACGCCTTGTGGTAGATTCCCACATATTATCGGCACCCTATGGACGGGAATTTATAGCTGAACTTAATCGTGCCACGGGAGAACTAAAATATGACATTAGAACGTTACCCATAAAGGAGTCTATAATATGGGAACGCAGCATGGGTCAATTGGCTCTAAAACCCAATGAAGTCAATGCCTTAAGTGAGGTATGGCAAAAAGAAGATCAGGTTGTGAAAATCTTAACTCAGCCTGAACTAGTACAAATGATAAACAGCTCTACTTTACACACATTAGCCGAAAGTTTTAAAAAACACTATGAGAAAAAACAACATATTGTCTTGTTTTTACGTTCGTCTGAAAAACAATCCACAGCCATCTCTACGGCTCTAATAGAACTGCAAATACTGCATCAGTTAAAGGTATTACAAGTCCAACCCTCTATCAGGGAATTATTGCTGCAGCTAAAACGTTTAACAAAATCCATAGCTGAGGTTCCGTATAAAAAACAAAAGTCGGAAATATTGTCCACTTTTAAGAAATTTCTAGCCAATGACAAGAAACAGTGTGTTCGTGTAGAGGGCACTAATGGTTTTGGTCGCTTATGGCAGCAACATTTAAATCGTTTGCCTCTGGTCACGCTAGAAGTGGCCGAAACCATTATAGATAAATATTCTTGCCCGAAAAAACTTTTAGATGATCTCAAAAATAATGCAGATGCTGTTAAGGAAATATCCGATTTGAAAATTAAACGTTCCGGCCCAGTAGCTATGCAAACCGATCGACGTATTGGTAATGTATTGTCCTATAAACTGTATATGCTTTATAATTCCAAGGATCCAAATACGTTAATTTAATTTATTACAAAATAAAAATATGTAGTATGTATATTTACTTGAATAAAAATCAGTTTTACTATTTTATTTCTTGCGAAATAGCTTTGGTTTTTCTAAGATTCATTAATAAATTGTTGTACTCTAAAGCAATATGTATGTTTAGAAGGGTTTTATTGTTAGTGTTTCTAATTGCAAAATGGACTTACTAAATTATTTTCAAATATAGAATTTTTGGAAATACTCCATAAAATTCTAGAAAAAATTCACAATAAACCGAATGAAAGAACATGAAACACATTCAGAGATTCTCCTAAAAATTATATCTTAAAAACTTGAAATTGACATCAAAGTAATCGATCTGCACAGAAAACTCTTTTACTACAGAAAGATCCAACTGCATTAGCTAAGATGGTCATGTATGATTTGAATCGTTCCGGAGAAAAGTTTTACTTGTTGCCCAAACGATTATGATTCGCAGCTACTTGTTATTGAAATAAGATCCACAAATATCTTGAATTGATTAAATATGTATTATTTTATTATTATAATTATTGTTATTATTATTTTTATAATTTTGTATATGATAATTAGATGCAAATTATTAAGCTAATGTTTACATACTACTTAAATAATAGAAATATTTTTTATACATACAGTATAGTATATAAGAAAATTTAAGAATAAATTTATAATTTACAATGAATACTACGAAATAACATTTGAAATAATAAAAAAATTAACGAAAGAATTAATTTTAAAAATATCTTTAGCATTTACACAGTCATTTAAAAAATTGAGTAGGTGTGTGTATACAACTTTACAATGTGGCCAGAATGCGTGTGAAGCCCAAACACGCCGATACTATGGTTTGTCCTACACCCCAAACCATGGCATATATTGGAGACATGGGTAAACTAGAGGCACGATGTACAAAAGCAATAACTGCACTACTAATAATACCGCTTAGAGCCGGAGACAAGAACCCCATAACTAAGATCAATATAGAAAAGAAACGTCCAAATTTATGCTTGCGTAGCGTTACAAATGCTACCAGTGCGGCACAGGTGTGTATGAATATCGAGGAAAACAAGGCCCACAGAAATATGTGATACCACATTTCCCTAAAATTGTCCAGTCTACTTTGTGAACGTAGACCCATAACATCGGCGATGGTGTCCAGCTCTTCGCTATCATCGGACGACATTACAAAAGAGGCAAATGTATGCGATTGGCCTGAAGTGGAGGCAGAAGAGAAAAATAGTGACAACAGTTTGGCGGTTAGGGGTGATGACGAGGAGGACGGGGACGAGGTGAGAGATGTAACAGCTATAAGACTGAGTGTAGGAGCTTTTAAAAGTTGACGTAGAATGTTGATGCTGTCTTGATTATTATTGTTGTTTTTGTTATATTATTTTTGAGTTGACCTGTTTTCTACGGGTTATCACAATTAACAATATGTTTAAGTTTTACTTTCAGCTAAATCAGTTTCCTCTTTTCTAGCACTAATTTTCAAATCAAATTTCTAGGCTTCTGCTAAAGTGTGAGTAATAGTGCAACGTTCTACTAGTTTTTGTGAAATGTTTATTAGTATTGTAGTTTTGATAAGCGGCAGTATGTTTCCATAGACGCTGAAACATCTGAATCTTACAAATTGACTTTTGCATTATTGGAAAGATCTGCAAAATGAAACAAAGAAAAAAATATATTAAAAAATAATACGATGTTATTGAGCGAAGCATACATACCCTCAGTTTGTTCTTATTTTATTTATCGTTTTGCATTTTATATGCAACATATTTTATTTTCTTATTTCGTGTTCGATTTAATTTGTGTTGATATTGCTTTTGTGTTTCCAATTAGATTTTTATTATTATTCTTATTGTAAATTAGTTAAATTACATTTTTTAATTCAATTTGACACTGAAAAGTTACGCCTTAATATTTATTTTAGATTTTGTTTAAGTATTATTTTCTATATATGTAATCACTGTATCATTTAATGCTCCCCTTAATGTGATCAATTTTTATTATTTCTTTGCTTTAAGTTAATTTATTTTTTCCACTAAAATAAGGCAAAATTTCTTGTTTTTTACAAAAACATAATTTTTGCTTTTTCCCATAAATTACACTCAGCCATAGTTGCCAGATGATTTGGGGGCAAAATCGTCAAATTTCGCGAAAAAAAATCGTCAAAACTATTTTGCGCGGCTAATAAAACATATTTGGTGGTATTTCTACTGAATTTTTTGTTCATTATTTTAACTATCGAAGCATTTTTATCAATTTCGATTGATTTTAGTTGTTATTATCTACTCAATTTGACAAATTTGTGTACTTTAAAATTCGTTAGGTATATTGAGTTCTTGTAAACTATTTGAGAATTTTTTCATAACAATGTTTAATAAAAAAAAACAATATTCTACTTCTTCCCAAAACCAATTTTTCTAGATTCAACGCACTACAACGCTAAAAACGTAAAATATGCTCTAAAAACTTGAAATGAGCCTTAAATATGCTATTAAAATCAAATCATGCATAATCATATAAATGATTATGAATGATTTGGAAAAATTTAAAACGTAAAATATGCTCTAAAAACTTGAAATGATCCTTAAATATGCATGATTAGCAAAAATTTTAGCTAACAAATAGATGCCAAAATTCTTTAATTGTTTTGAAACTTCTCGACGCACCATAAAAACATGCATTTGCATATTTAGGATTCCCTGATTAAATTTTTTAATTTGATTAACATTAATTAATTTTATTCTTAGAATATTCTAAATATGTTTCGATTTTCCATTTAAAAAAATCGTCAAATTCGTAAAATCGTTATGGGTAATTTTTGACACTGAAACAGGATAAATCATCAAATCTGGCAACAAAGCACTCAGCTGCAAAGACCTGTGCCGATCGAAATTAACGATGTTGGCGGCTGACACCAAAAGTTATTACGGCAGCTTTAAATTATCTAAAACAACAAAAAAATGCTTAAAAAGAAAACTTTAAATTGAAAAATTTTAAGTATTAATGAAACTTTTATTCGAACTATACAAATATGGTGGATATTTTCGAGATATTTTAAAAAGAAATATTCTAAGCGGCCACCGCTTTTAATTTTTCTCGACAGCTAGGTTTAGACGGCTTTCAGCCGAATCGACTTTGGTGTCCGCTCAGCTGTTTGTATCAGAAATGAGAAAGAAGAGGGGGTTGCCAGATAGGCAGTACACAAAATACACTTGAAAAAAAATAAAGTAACTTTTATCTTCATGACACAATAGAGAAATTACAAAAATAAAATTTTATTTTCTAAACGGTTAGTCCGATTATTATATGTGAAAAATTTATAAATATGTATCTCAATTTTGTTTTTGTGTTTTTTTAAATAATTTTATGCTTTTAAGTGGTTTTAAAATCGCTCACTATGACATAAAAATCGCAAAATTACCACCACTGTACGAATATAAAAATTAAAGCGAATTTGCAAAAACTGCTAACTGCGGCAAAGTTGATTATTGAATTAGAACGGTAAAATGTCAAACTACTCCTATAAAAAAGATTCATCTTAACGCTGATATGTCAAACTCCTTACAAATCAAAATATAAATTTGTCCTTGCTGTCATCTCATTTGATTAGCCCTGCTTCAAATTTTGTTATTTATTTCTGATTTGTAAAAGGAAAACACGAAGAAAATTTAAATGCTACTTAAATATTTAGCCAACAAAGCATAGATAACAATAAAAAAAAACAAAATAAATATAATATAATAATGATTAAAGCTATTCTAGTATTTAATAATCATGGCAAACCACGCCTTTCCAAGTTCTATCAATATTTTGTAAGTGAAATTTTTCATTCACTTTATTGATTTTCTTTGATCATGATTTGAGTTTCATTTTTGGTTTTCTCCACAGAATGAAGACATGCAACAGCAGATAATTAAAGAAACATTCCAATTGGTATCCAAGCGTGATGATAATGTTTGCAATTTTCTAGAGGGAGGCAGGTGAGTGGAATCGCTTTGAAATGCATTTAACGAAACATATTTCTACTAATCTTTCCTTATTTACAGTTTAATTGGTGGTTCGGATTACAAACTTATCTATCGACATTATGCCACCTTGTATTTCGTGTTTTGTGTGGATTCCTCAGAAAGTGAATTGGGTATTTTGGATTTGATACAAGTTTTTGTGGAGACACTTGACAAGTGTTTTGAAAATGTATGTGAACTCGATTTGATCTTCCATGCTGATGCAGTGCATCACATACTGTCAGAACTGGTAATGGGTGGCATGGTTCTACAGACAAATATGGCTGATATTATGGCACGTATCGAAGAACAAAATAAACTTGTCAAAGCGGAAGCGGGTATTTCGGCTGCTCCAGCTAGAGCTGTGAGTGCGGTGAAAAGCATGAACATTCCACAACAGATTAAAGATATTAAACTGCCCGATTTGCCACAAGCCATTAAAGACTTAAAGTTCTGACCAGGGCAAAGCTCGAATTCAGCCATTGTAGATAATTTTGTGTTACAACGTCTCACTTCTCCCTCAACCATAAATCCCACATCGGCTTTTAGTTCTTTTGCGGCGTATGCCTTCAACAATTCGGGCAGTACTAGCGGTTATAATCATAATTCTTTAACACTAAATAACAAAAATGTCTACGCCTCCTCCGTATCTCAATTTCTCAATCAAAGTATCTATGAACCCATAGAAGATGATAACTATTCTCCACATATTTCCACAACATTTCCTAATGCCGAGACAATTGCTTCTGCTTTCAATTATGACTATTACCAGTCTCAAACTTGCATGGATCCCGAAACCTGCAATTCCTTCGAATCCAATAACATATTGTATCAGCAGGAGAAAAGTGTTGCCAAAAATTTAGCCGATGTCGCCGAAGCCCACGAACAGAGCATGAAATTATTTCGAGAATCCTTTGATCTGGATGCAGCCAGACAACCTTTAGATACGGAAGCAAAGAAAAAACATAAAAAATCAAAACGTTATAATAATCATTAAATATAAATGATTGAAAACCAAACAACCGCATACAAAAAGAAATGTTGAGAAACAAAATGTCGATGTTGTGGTCCTCACAGTTTACAATTTAGTTTAAAAAACGTCCTATAAACTCTACTTATTATCTATTTTAAAGAAATGTATATTTTTATTCTAAAAAATAAAAATCGTCTATTAAGTTTACTACATGAATTTATGGATGACTACAGAAACTCTCAGTAAGTTATCTGAAATGTTTGTGAAGTTCAGGAATAACTTTTTGCTTGAATTTTGAATTAACTAGGAGTGAACCTTTAGAATCCAAGAAAGAAAAATTGGGGAACCTTCAATGATAGGGTTCAGAGTGGGTTGGCACAACAGGCCATAGATAATTTGTTGACGACTGATTTGGGGGATGCTGTTAAAAACTTTACAAATCTCTTAAAGGACAGCAAAGAGCAAGGCTGCTTTCCTAGGCGCGAACAATCTTAATGGCAGACTAAGGAACTCAAAATTCAAAAATCTCGACAGAATAAGCAATTGGATGGAACAATTATAGAGTTTATAGGAACAATTATAGAATTATAGAGCAGATTTCAAAAGGGCAAAACAGATTTCATGGACGCAGGATTTTGAATTACTTGACAGTGTCAATTAGTTATCGAGATTCTGACGGATTTTATTCAAAAAGTCTTAGGGTTTATTCAAAGAAACAACAGCTCATAGACGAAGTCTAGCTCTAGAACTTAATTTTACTTATGAGAACACATTTTACGGGTTATTTGGTAATTGAAGATGTGGCTGATGACCAATAGAACCTCGAGTCTGTGTCACGAAGTCATATCACCTACATAGAGGAAATAGTTAGAAGTGAAAAACTAGTACTGTTCCATCCCTGAACAGGCTTCTGTCTATTGAAATGAATAAAATGAAATCACCGCGTATCTATCTATCTATCTATCTATCTATCTATCTATCAATCTATCAATCTATCAATCTATCTATCTATCTATCTATCTATCTATCTATCTATCTATCTATCTATCTATCTATCTATCTATCTATCTATCTATCTATCTATCTATCTATCTATCTATCTATCTATCTATCTATCTACCTATCTATCTATCTATCTATCTATCTATCTATCTATCTATCTATCTATCTATCTATCTATCTATCTATCTATCTATCTATCTATCTATCTATCTATCTATCTATCTATCTATCTACTATCTATCTATCTATCTATCTATCCTATCTATCTATCCTATCTATCTATCTATCTATCTATCATCTATCTATCTATCTATATCTATCTATCTATTGTTTAATCAAATCAAGTCTCAATAAACTAAACTATCTATCTATCTATCTATCTATCTATCTATCTATCTATCTATCTATCTATCTATCTATCTATCTATCTATCTATCTATCTATCTATCTATCTATCTATCTATCTATCTATCTATCTATATATCTATATATATCTATCTATCTATCTATCTATCTATCTATCTATCTATCTACCTATCTATCTACCTATCTATCTATCTATCTATCTATCTATCTATCTATCTATCTATCTATCTATCTATCTACCTACCTATATATTTATAATGAGAAAGTAGTGCATAATGTTCTAGAACTCCATCCGAAAGAACTGGTTGTTACAACCAGATATGGTGAAAAGGGTTTACACATCAATTGTTAAGCCCATTCTTACAAAAGAGTTTTCCATGTTCCCTAGTTATTAAGGGCCGTTAGCAGTTTAAGAAACGATATGCACTTACATACATACATATTTTTTTATTTGTAATAAATCAAATAAACTTAAGAAATAGAAAACTAAAACAGCCACTCCCATCTTTAAAAGAAATTTCAACAACGCCCAACAGTAACATGAGTTCATAAAGCAGCACTATGGCACTGAAAACGAAATAAAAATTGTATAAAAAAAACATACAAACATAAAACAGGAAAAAGGTGTGGCAGGCAGCGCAGTTAGCAGAACAGGGCAAACAAAACGACTAACAAACGACCCTTCACCACACACAAAACTAAACCCTGAATGTTTTCTTCATAACATAAATGTGTGGTTTTTGTTGCTGTAGTCGATAGGCTATAGTGGCAGTTTGTAATCCAGTTTAGAATGTTTTGAATGATTCAAAAGAACAAACATTTAGGTAGATACATATGTTTGTATGTTTCTCACTGAAAGCAAAAAGAATTGTATAAAATATTAAGGGAAAATAAGAAAAAATAGGCGTAACGTACTGTTACGTTCTTGATAAATTTGGCCGAAAAATTCCAATAAAGTAAAATATTGTTTTTGGTTGAAACCTACTGGTAACTGCCTCATACTTCAAAAATAAGTTGTTGTTAAGAAATAAAACTTGATTATTACAGTGGAATGTATTATGTTTGTAGGCTTTATTCAATACTATTATTACCTTTTTGCTGCCTTTTCCACTCCCACCCACACGCGATAACATTGAGAATGTCATAGTTTGTTAAAGTTTATATATAGATATGTACATATTTGTGCTTTTTGTTTGGGTTAACAGAAAATACATTTATTTCTTTTTTAAAGTAGGTGTTTAGTATAATTAAACCCCTGGTTTTTAATCTTAAAAAGTTAAATACTTTCCGTGTATGTTGAAGCTTACAGCTTTAATCGACAGACATATAAAATACTTCCAATTATAATTTTTCGTTTTAGTATTTATATATTTACAACAGATAATTATGAATATTAATATTATATATACATTAAAAATTAAGCTTAAAAATATACATTACATTCCAATAAATTATTTAATTTCATTAAAATAATTAATTTTTTTCAAAAACTTTTAAAACCCATTGCTGAGGCAACAAATCGGTCTACTATTTTTTAAAACTTTACACTTTTAGTTTTAAGTTTAAAACCCAATTTATGTTCTTTATTCCAGTTACCGCAAATTTAAACAATTGTTTAGAACAAATTTTGAAATCTTAAGACTTTTAAAATGTATTACTTTTATAGGTAAACCTGAGCTTTCAACTTTATTTGCAACAAAATTATAAGATTCAAGTTTTGTAGACACTGCTTTAAAGGCTGGTTTGTATACTGAATTCAAATCAAAATCTTTATTGGCATATTGCTGTTTTTAAGTTAAAATTGCTTATTTGAAACAGAGTTTAGAAAGAATGAATTCACCCAAATGTTCGTTTCGGCATGAAATATTTGAATGTATCATTCCTTAAAATAATTTTCTGGTAAATTATTCAGAAGCAGTATCCTCTGGCTATACGGAAGCTGACACTAGTGTAATGTGCTTTAAGTAACATATTGAATTTCGAATTGAATGTATTTCAGTAAAGTTTCCATGAATTTAGTCTTAAGAAAAATTTCGGAATCTTTAAATCTCATATTTTAGTGTGAAATCTTACAATTTGTATCTCTCGATTAGTGATGCTTCCTAGCCAATCATCTTACTCGAAAATGTGTGTTCATGTGTTTTTTCAAATGATCACTACGCATAAAACGTTTGTCACATTCGTTACAAGCAAATGGTTTCTCGCCGGTATGTGTACGCATATGGCGATTGAGATCATCTTGGCGTTTGAAATTTTTTGTACAATGACAGCAAGGAAATGGTCTTGTCGGATCATAAACACTATCCGACAAGCGATTGTTTACTGTGGGTTTAACAAGAGATGTTGTAGCTTTTACTGCTGGTGATACTGCTGCTGCTACTGGTATTGTGGAGGTATTTTGTAATAATGGTGGTAAATTGGCTTCTGGCATAATGGCATCATCATCGGGTTCATCATTGGCATGTGTAGAACTTGTTGTTATTGCACTACTCTGTGTTTCATCTAATGGTTCATGTTTTACGACTATTTCGGCTTTCTTTTCTGTATTCAACACTAAAGGCTGCGCGGGAGGTTGTGTTGGTACGGGGCTTTTATTTATTTCCTGTGGCGGCAAGGCTATTTTATATTCCTCATTATTTTCGGGTTTCTCTAGTTTTATTTTCAATACACCTAATTGGGGGACTTCTACAGGTTTTGTTGTTATTGTAACAGGCTTTGCAATTGGTTCTGGTGTTTTATCTTTAGGCCCGGTTGTGTTAGTAGGGGATTTTTGTGTAGTTTTATCCAATTTCATTCTTTTCGAACTGTTATTGGCTGCTAATTGTTTAGAATGCGTTGCCAAATGCTTGGTTAAATGGTCACTGCGCGAAAATTTCTTAGTACATTGTGCACACTCGAATGGCTTTTCACCCGTGTGCGTTCTAATGTGACGATTAAGTTCGTCGGAGCGTGTAAATCCTTTACCGCAACCGGGCTCCTTGCACACGAATGGCTTAATGCCCGTATGCCATGTTAGATGAGACCTTAAATGGGAACTTTTGCCATAGCTTTTTGTGCAATTCTCATAGGGACAGGCGTAACGTCGTTTGTTATCGATGGTCACCCCATTGGGTGAAGCTATTAGCTTACTGGTAGGCCTGAGTCTTATTTTTGGCGTTTTATCAATATTATTTGGAGATGTCATATGAGAATTGCTATTTACCTCACCCTCCTCGTCGGGATGCCTATCATCAATATCTACCGGTGGTTCTGATTTGATATGAACCTCCGAATGGAAAATACTATGGGAAATACTGTACATATTAAAGTTGTCATAACCATTCATGTCCACATCGTTTGGGTGGTTTGACTCATTTTGTGCAGACGGAATACCCCGCCTCTCATCATTATATCCACTCCCTTCTTCATATTCATCATCATCACTATTTGTACGTAACACACCCTGTTCTATTTTTATTGAAACGCCACCAGCCTCTGACGTTGACGTTAACATTGTTGGTGTGGGCGTGTCACTTAAGGTAGCCATTTCAATTATCTGTAATTTAACAAAAAAATATAGTGTTTTTTAAGCAAAACTTTATATACAGCCATAGTTTTTATTAATTATATACAAAAGTTACCTTTACTTACTGCATTTAAAGTTTAATATTGAAAAGTTTTCGATAAACTAGGTATTTTTACGCCTTCGTTTTTTGATTTTTCAGTGGGCGTTCCCTGGGTTTTTTGCTAATTTACCAAGCTTTATACACAAAAAACATACACTATTGTTTCTAAATAATCCTGACAAGCGATTTCTTATATTGACAAATACTTGTTTATTAATTAATGTACGTGTTTTATACTTTAATGGAAATTATTATTTATAATTCCTTTTTCTTGTATCTTTAAGTAACTTTATCTGAATGTAAACATCCACTTTGCTCGACTGGTTTTTTATATCTGATGAATTATTTTTACAACTTCTTTTTGTGTTGTTAGTTCTCTTTTGTTGCTTTCATTCTTAGCAAAACACAGTAGCGATGACAGCAGCTGTCATAACTGAACAGTGTTGTTTATTTACAATTAAATTACACTGGCAAAAATTTGTTTGAAAATAAAGCGATTTTTATGTAATGAGTTGCACAGTAGGACAATTTTAAAATGTTTGCTTCGATTATTGAAAATGTAATTCTACATAAAAATCATCAGTCACCGCCTGGTCTTCATGGCAATATATACATTCAAAATTTTGTTCCTTTAAAATATTTTATATAATGTTAGCTTTCTATTGAACATAATTTTGTAAATTTTTGAACGCTTTAATGAAATTGAAAATTTAATATTCAAATACGGCGGCTTATTTATAAATTCCTTTCCCTCACATCACTGCGTTTTTCATAAAAATTATTTTCGTATTTTCAAAATTTTTTTGAAAAGTGTTTCAACGCAAGGTGAAGGGTTTTGCGAAATAAGAGGATTAATTTCAGTTATTTTTTCTTCCAACCAATAACAATTAAAAGACTTTACACATTTACAAGTATTTTTTTAAACAAATTACTAAAGGTATTTTTAGACTACAATACTGAGTATTAATACTTGTCAAAAATGTTTGTATCATAATACAATTTACTAGTCTAAATATAATTTGTAATTTGATTTTCATAAATTTTTTAAAACAATTCAAAAACTTTTTATTTTCAAACGTATTCGGGATGTATTTTATAAATACAATAAAAAACAAACAAAAATTGTAAAATACATTAAAAATAAGAACGAAAAGTGCATAAATAATTGAAAATTGGATAAAAAATATTACAAATATTATAGTGTAAACATAAAATGTATTTTTCGGATTGATTTTTTGAAAATGCGAATTATTTTCATAATATTTTTAATTTGAAGTGTGTTAATACTCAGTATTGTAGTCTGAAAATACCTTAAATGATTTTTAATTTCTTTAAACAAAAAACAAAAAATTTATGTTTTTTTGTATTATTTGCGATTTATAAAAACAATTTCAAATCTATTTAATTTACAGCTAAATTCAAATTTTATTACAATTGACGTTTTTTACTAATCTTAGCGATTTTTAAAACGAAGAACTTGACAACCCTTTTCACGCAGTTGTTAATTTTAGTAGTTGGCGGTTTCACCAGCGTGTTCAAAGAGCATATTATAAGAAGACATCAACTACAAAAGCAACCGGCATTATGTTGTTGTAAAGTGACAAACTCATATTGTTGTTGTTACAACAAACACAAGTAAATTTGACAGTTTTTATTAAACCAGATGCAAAATTTTAAATCAGACGGTCTTCAACAAGCATCTTATTAAAGTTCTTATATTGGAATAAATTGTCGGCATTTTTTGTAAATTTTTTTGTATTGTGCTGCAAATTTTTGAGTTTTGTTTTTTAAATTTGTGAAAATAAATATAAAATTTCTTCAAAATGGAAGTCATACCCGATGATATGTGGTCTCCATTTAAACAAATGTATAAAATCATCGAGCAGACTATTCTCAGTCCCACCGAAGATTTAATGGCAAACTTGGAAATGTGTTTGAAGCGGAATAGACAAGTTTTTGCCAATCTTCTGAAAAATCCTCCAAAAAATGAGCGCAATCGTAAAGAGTTACAAAAACACATTGCCCAGGGTATACCGGTTACGGCCAATAGAAGAACCCTAATTTTATCTAAGGATCTAGTGGATGAGTGCTTCATCATTTCCGATATGTTTGATTTAGATGAGTATTTGGCTTTGGAGCTGCTATGCACTGCTCAGCGTCAGATAAATCAATACCCCGAACTACCACGTGGATTAATTGCAGTCCTTTTGTATTATGATGGACGCAAAGCGGTGGCAAATTCGGTACGCGATTTATTTCAAATTATAAGTGGAGTATCATGGGTTTCCGAAGTACCCAAAGAGTTGATATCAATGGCCTCTTCATTCTCACAGTCTTTGGTCGATGACTCTAATATATTGGAAAGAATTGTAGATCTTTTGGATGAATTAGATATAACAAGTGAAATGGTGCTGTTGACCAAAAACCGAGCTCTTGGCTCCAATAAACATCGTAATCAAATATCCGAACTTTTCGAAGAAATACGCATGTCTCTGGCCATGGCTTTATTCAACTGGTCGGCCCAACGAAGTTTGCCTAAGAACGTAGTCATCAAACTGTTTAAAAATCTTTCGAAATATAAATCCAGTGAATCCACCGGCATGATTGATGATACTACTTTAACTATGCTTATGTCGGTGATTTATTCATACGATACTAATATCTTACAAAAACAGGATGATAATCGTTTAATTAATAATTTAAATATTATCAAAGACAATGAATTCATACAGCAGTTGTATATGGCTTTAATGAACGATAAAAGTTTGGAGAACAACAATAATAATGGCATAAAAAATTTCATTAAATTTTCATTTGGTTTGGCTATATCGGGTTTGCGTCATGCCTCACAGTATCTACAAAATTCTTCCTCCATTGTAACCGATTATGATGAGCAGCTGGTGGACGATGCTATATGCAGCAACATTTTTAAATTTATACACAATTCCATAATTGAAAAGGAGATTATTTATAAAAATCAATTCTTTTATAGACGTATCCATATGATCTTCACCGATTTCATTGATTTTATGCATTCAAAAGTAACCGAATTACGTGGTAGAGCAGATGAGACGGCAAAAACTCTTATTAGTTTTGCCAAAGAAGGCCTGGAGCCTCCCAGTAACTTGGATCATAACTTCGAAATGCTATTGCTGTGTATAGGTAAATTTTATAAAGGCAATAAAGCTGGTCTTGGTTTGTGTGTGGAGTATTGGGGACCTCTCGAAACTTCAGCAAATTGTGTTACTACCACACGTTCAGTTTCTCTGTTCAAGTTTATACGCTTAGCAGGAGAGCTGTTGCCCTCAACACTGTTTGTGCCCTATTTGAAAATGATAGCTGGTTTAGCGAGCTGTGATAGATCTGCTAGGTGCACATTTAATCTATTAAAGCAGGCTTCAGGTTTAACAGGAAGTACTGCTTTGTCTTGGGAACACTTTTTCTCCTGTTTGAATAGATATTATACCAACTTGAAGCAGGAATATCATACAGCAAGTGATACGATTTACAGAAGCCGCATTTCTAGCCGCAATATTAATCCCGATGAAATTGAAGGCTTGAGAGCAGTTTTGGAGGTAATAAAAGCTGTTACCACCTATGATGATGTGGCGCGTATTGCTATATGTGAACATCCCAACTGGAATCCTTTATATACCTTGATAGGTCTATTGGGCTGTTCGGTGCCATTGCACTTAAAAGCAGATATTTTGCAAACCTTAGCCGCCTTGGCTCAATCTAAGGAAACTGCCACCCTACTGTGGGACAACTTGGAAGCTTCACAGATTATAGCCACCATACCCACTAATGTACAATATGAAATCTGTAATTTAGAAGTTGAAATTGAACAGAATGAATGCCGCTTAGAGAAATATCCATTATCAGAAGGCATCTTAGATTTACTTTATTCCCTAATAACCACTGTTATACCCAAACATTTGGGAAATGGACCACGTAAACCAGGCTTCGAACCTTACTTGAAATTTTTAATAAATGGCATATTTTTAAAATTCTACAATAGAACCTATAAAGATCCTGCCGAAAAATGGAATATTGGTTCGAAATGCCTCAAAATTATCCACTACTTATTGGATATTTATGCTATAAATCCCAAGGATTTTGCTGAAACCTTTGACAATCCCACTCCCCCAGGATTTTATATTATGCTGCAGTTGCACACTAAATCGGATATGTTGCGTTTGATCCTACAAATCATAGATGATTCACGTTTACAATTAGATGATTGCAAAAAGTTTAAGGGCAAAAGCCAATTAGAGGAATGTGCTTTGTATTGTTTGAAAATAGTTAAGCTGGGCTTGAAGTATCAGGATATTTACTTTGATGCCCACTCAAATGCCAATAGTGCTATTATGCTTTCTGGTTTAAATAAAATCCTGTTAGATGTTAATCCACGCAGCAAGAAACCAGATCATATATTAAATTCCACCTACTTTTTGACATTTTTCAATTGGTTACCCTACCACACTTTGGAAGCCATTAAAATTCTACATATGATTTCCAACCAGCCGAGCGCTAATTCACAAATTGTGGGCATATTCACACAAAATGAAACTACTAAAACTATATTACGCCAAGGTTTTGTTGAGTGTTTGGAAAGCGAATATATACCGCTCAAAACTGAAGCGGAGGTCAATGAACTGGTATTTGAGGATTCCAATGAAATACCCAAAATTAAACTGGAAATCAAAGAAGCCATTATACGTTTGATACAAAGTTGCCTGTGTCAACATACCCCCAATCTGGGGCAATTCCTAATGGGATTCGAGCACTTAAAAGATATCCAAATGCACAAGGGACAAAGGCATGGTATACTCGAAATGGGCATTAATTGCACTAAATCCATAGTATCGTTGTTGGAAAATCATCTAGAGATGAAAACCAATAATCTAAGTTTTGATGTGGATGTCGAGAGAGTAATAGAACGTTCATTTGAGCTGCTGCATACGGTATGCGCTAATCCTAAAACTTCTGATCAAGTTTTGCGTTATTTACGCAGTAGAAACGATTTCCTATGCCGTTATTTAATGCTGGTGCCTTCGCTGAAAGTGGACAATTCCCATGTCATCAATCAAATAAGTAATTTACTAAAATGCATAGCCATTGAATTGAAGATAACAGCTTCAAATTGTCAGCTAAGTAGATTCCAGCATATATCGGAAATATTTTTGGGCATTAATTCCAAAAATAAACAAGAATCCACCATAGAATTGACACATTTCTATACGAATGCAAATTTCGATACCAGCAAGCATCTTTCTTCCGGACAGAAAAACAATATATTATGTGAACTTTTCAATAGAATTGATTTGGATCTACAACTTATCGCCACACCACAATGGGAATTTTTCGATAGAGGTTTGATAGAACAGATACTAAAAGAGTGCGAATATAAAACGGAAGAGGGTCATATGTTGGTGGATTTAAAGAAAATGCATCATATCTTACACAGTGAATTGAAAATGGTACAAAGTACCATAGCCAGTGGTCAGAGAAGACTTATCTTACAGGAAATCGAATCAGTTTTACTGCATGCCCTTAAAGTCAACGAACAGAGAAATAAACGTTTCGCCACTGTCAAGTTTGTAGAATCCTGGGGTTATGTTACCGAAATACTTTTCAGCTGTGTCACTAGTTGTGCTTTTCCGGCGGAAAAGAAGCAAGAATTGATAATTGAAATCTTACAAAGAATTTTAATGAAAGTGGCACCCAATCAGATTATTTTGGAAATGTCTGTCATCATTTCTGGCACTATACTATTGCTGCTGGTAAATTTACGTTGTTGTTTTAATAATGTTCCAGAAAGTGATTTGAAATCCGTCGAAGCTAATGACTCGGAAATTAATCAAACACAATCATCTAAGTCCAATACGCTAAATCTTAAATGTATTTTAAAATATATTTTGGAATGGATTATAGTAAGTGGTGTGGCTTCCCAAAAGCTGCGTATTAATCTCTATGCATCTTTGCTTAATTGTCTGCGCATCATCAGAGATCAAAGTACCAAGAAGACTACGAATCAAACGAATCAAAACTACATCACCCGTTTGGATAAATCCAGTGGTAATGATTACATGTCATCCGATTCCACTTATATAAGAATGGCTGTTGAGGTTATTTTGCAGTTTGGAGAAAAGCTAATTGAAATAATATGCCATGATTGTGTGGCTGGTCATGAAATCTGCAAAATGTCTGCCTTGGCCTGCATAGATGTTTTATTGGATATAGACACCATGTCTGGCATTATGAATTTCATATCACATCATGGCTATTTGTCGCACATTGTGGAAAGTTTGGCTAAATCTGATGAAGAACTTTGCAACACTTTATCCAATATACCAGAGAATATGAAATACTTGTATGTTTATGAATCGAAAATGTCCATGCTATTGCGTTTAGCCAACACTCATGCTGGTGCTGAACTTTTACTTTCCAATAAAGTTTTAGATGTCTTGTCCAGCATGCGGGTGTTTGATATGCATCCCGATTTTAAACGCAGACAGGAGTGGCATCAAAACGATTTGCAAGAATTTGTGCCCCGTGTAGACACTCGTTATAGGCAAATACTATTCCCAGCTTTAAATTTGTGTGACTGTTTGGTAACAACTCTGGGAACGGAAAACTATTCTGTTATCTCACAAGTAATGCACTTTTTACTCTCGCATTGCGATATGATTGAAATAGTTTTGAGATCTGGATCACCTTTTTCCGATGTAGGCTTATTGCAAGAAGTCTCCTTCATCACCGGCATCATAGCAAGAACTTTTAGCCAGGAAGCCTTTGCAGCTAGAAATTCAGATTTGATGGGCGATATTGGTGTCAATGTGTATAGAATAAAAAAACTCATGTTATCACTTTATCTACGTTTCACTGTCAACGATGCCAACTTTAAGGAGATACAGAAATCAGGACATGCTCTATACGATGAATCGACAGATAATACCTCATCAGTTCATATAACGTATTTCTTGGAAATAGCCGCCAATTTGAATCTGTTCTGTCGCAACATTGTCACTAACAATTCGGTGGATCATAGAACCAATGGTCTCTTGTTTTCTCCCACAATAAGTGAAGGTGTTCACATGGAAGATAATCGCAACAGTACTATATATCATCAGTATAATCTGGGAATTATAATAAACCAATTAAAGGGTTCCGTTGAATATTATCATTCGCAGAAAACCATATTAGACGGCTTATATCGCCAAAGATCTGTTCTTATTCACTCGAGTTTCGATTCGTCGGCCAATGAGAAGTACTTGCAAATAATAAAACAACATGAAGACAAACAAATACAACTATCCCTATGCGTCTTTATCATCGAACAATGTTTATATCTACTCTGGAGTCATCTAGACTATTATATGCGTTACATATCGTCCAACAATCGCGATGTTATTCTCCTCTATGCCGACAATATGCATGGCATTGGTGCTGGTAATGCTTTAAATTTTACCAATGAGGAAATGGTGAATTTAAAGAAAACTCTCATTTCGGTTTTCAATGAAACCTTTTCGAAGAAATTATGCTCCATTATGGATGTGTCACAAGATGTGGAAACTGATTTTAATAATGCCCTTTTACGAAGAATTAAGTCTATAATACAATTTTTTCCCATTAAATAATTGAATCATTGTAATTAAAAAAACCTTAAAGAAAGAAGAAAAATAAAGAATGTTGTGTGTTGTTAATAATAAAATTAAAATAAAATTGATTTGCATTTGAATCTTATAACCAGAGAAGAAAAATTTATTTATTATTTTTGATCGTTTTTTGCATTTGGCAAATAAAATGTTTTTATGTAATTTTTATATTCTTTAAATTTCTTTTTTTGCAAAAATAAAACAGGATTTAAAAAAATTATTTAAATGTTTTCTTTAATTGATTAAGTTAGCATTAGTTTTGAGTCAAAACTTTTGACTAGGGTTTTTATCCCCAAACTAATTTTGTTGAAAATTTAATTTTATTAAAAAATTTTCGATAAATTTCTCTTTAAGAAAATATTCGATAAATTTTAATTTTAGAAAATTTTCGATAAATTTTCGTTTTAGAAAATTTTAGATAAATTTTCGTTTTAAAAAATAAATCTAAATTTCTTTTTAGAAAATTTTCGATAAATTTTCGTTTTAGAAAATTTTCGATAAATTTTTGTTTTAGAAAATTTTCGATAAATTTTTGTTTTAGAAAATTTTCGATAAATTTTTGTTTTAGAAAATTTTCGATAAATTTTTGTTTTAGAAAATTTTCGATAAATTTTTGTTTTAGAAAATTTTCGATAAATTTTTGTTTTAGAAAATTTTCGATAAATTTTTGTTTTAGAAAATTTTCGATAAATTTTTGTTTTAGAAAATTTTCGATAAATTTTTGTTTTAGAAAATTTTCGATAAATTTTTGTTTTAGAAAATTTTCGATAAATTTTTGTTTTAGAAAATTTTCGATAAATTTTTGTTTTAGAAAATTTTCGATAAATTTTTGTTTTAGAAAATTTTCGATAAATTTTGTTTTAGAAAATTTTCGATAAATTTTTGTTTTAGAAAATTTTCGATAAATTTTTGTTTTAGAAAATTTTCGATAAATTCTCTTTAAAAGATTTTCGATAAATTTTTGTTTTAGAAAATTTTCGATAAATTCTCATTAAAAAATTTTCGATAAATTCTCTTTTAAAAAAGTTTTCGATGAATTTTCGCTTTAGAAAATAGAATTTTCGATAAATTTTCGTTTTAGAAAATAGAATTTTCGATAAATTTTCGTTTTAGAAAATAGAATTTTCGATAAATTTTCGTTTTACAAAAATTTCGAAAAATTTTCATTTTAGAAAAATATCGATAAATTTTCTCTTTTTAAACAATTTTTGATAAATTCTCTTTTTAGAAAATTTTAGATAAATTTTCGTTTTAAAAAATTTTTGATAAATTCTTTTTTTGGAAAATTTTAGATAAATTTCCATTTAAGAAAAGTTTAGATAAATTTTCATTAGAGAAAAGTTTAGATAAATTTTCATTTAAGAATTTTTTAGATAAATCTTTCTTTTCAGAAATTATTCGATAAATTTTCTTTTTTTTTAGAAATTTTTCGATAAATTTTCTTTATTTAGAAAATTTTCGATAAATTTTCATTTTATCAGATAAATTTGGATAATTTTTTTATATAAAAATTTTTCGATAAACTTTCTTTTTATATAGAAATTTTTCAATATATGTATATATTTTACAAAATTTTGAATAAATATTTTAAAGAAAATTCTGAATAAATTTTCGATTTTATAGAACATTTTCGATTCAATTCTCTATTTTGTAGAATATTTCAGACAAATTCTCCATTTAAACGAATATTTTCGATAAATTCTCGATTTTATAAAACATTTCCGATAAACTCTAGACTTTACAAAAAATTTTCTATTTTTTAAAAAATTTTGAGAAAATCTTTTTTTATAGAAAAATTTTGATAAAAACTCCATTTATAAAATATATTTTTTTTATAGAACATTTTTGATAAATTATGTGTTTGTCCACAAATTCTCTCTTTTATAGAAAATTATCAATAAATTCTATATTTTATAGAATATTTTCGATAAATTCTCTATTTTATAATAAATGTTCAATAAAATCTATATTTTATTAAAAAATTTTGATTTTATAGAACATTTTGGATAAAATCTCTATTTCATAAAAAATTTTCGATAAAGTTTGGACCAAATATGTCCTTATGGGCTTTGTTATAAAACTAATTAATTAAAACTAAAAAAATTGATTTTATAGAACATTATCGAAAATTCAAAGAAAATTTTCGATTTTATAAAAAAAAAAAATCGAAAATTTTGTAATTGTGGAAAAATGTTTTTTCTATTTTTGATAATTTTTCAAAATTTACTGTATTTTTTTTTATTTTTAGAAAATTTTTTATAATTTTAGAAAAATTTTAATAAATTCTTTATTTTCCATAAATTTTTGGTTTAAGGAAAATTATCGATAAAATTTCTGTTTATAACTTAACAAACTAAATTTCCGATAATATATTTCCTTTACAAAATGTTCTTTTATTGTTTTCTATATAAAAATTTAAAATAAATTAACAAATAATAATATTTATTATACAAAACCGATTACTCTTACACTCGAATACTTGAATCTAAATTATACAGTACTAACTAAAAATACAACCCTGTCCGGCAAATACAACTGACACTTGCTTTGCATTTTTCTTCATAGAGATTTTAACGAAGGCAGCGAAAAAAATCAAACAGTTGAACGAAACCCGCCCAGCAAATATAAGTAGTCGGTCGGGAGAACCTACGTGTAACGAGTGAAAGAATTTTTGTGCATTTTTTGAAGTGTTTAAAGGTGAATAAATTTTTGCAAAAAACTATTAATATTTAATATATATAAGTAATAAAAACAGATAAAAAAGTGAATTTAACAAATATAAACAATAAACTTTTAAATTAATAAACTTGAAAGAATATGCAAACTTAAGAAAATTAGAGTTTGAGTCATCATCAGCAAACAAAAGCGGCCAACAAAATGTAAAAAAAGAAGAACAAGAAGCAAAAAAAAGAAGATAAAAAAGGGAGATTGAGGAAATGCTAAAAAAGTTAAAGGATTTCTTTGAATAAAAAAACTAAAATTTTAAATTTATTGTTAATTTAGGGGAAAAAAAACAAAAAATTTAAAATTTGCCAAGGCATTTAACATTTTTTTCGTAAAGCGGCTACTTGAAGCTCACATGCACACACACTTATGCACTTAACGAAGATTTACGTGCCGCGACATAAAAAAGATAAAACAGACATTTACAAAAAACAAAAAGAAAAAAAAAGACAACAAAAAACATTTTTTGCAGCACTAGTTTTTTGTATTTGTTCGGCCTTGCTCAATTTTTTACAAAAATACTCGTACTCTAAACTTGACTCACTCAGTCTTAAAGGTACAGAGTGGCAGTTCGGTCGCTTAAATTGGATTTACGGGATTTTTATTTAATATATAAATATTTATTATTATTATTTTGTTTTATAAGAAACAATTTAAACATACAAAAAAAAACTTGTAATTTTTTACAATATTTAAACAAAAAGTGTGTAAATTATTTATTATAAATTTTTTGCTTTTAGAGGAAACATAAAAAGTGTTTAAAGAAAAAAAAACAAGACAATAAAAATTCCAATTAGATTTTATTAAGCAGAGAATTAAACAATTTTTTTTTAAGAAACATCAAGTTTTTATAAAATAAATTGTTGGCCGCTTTTTATAAATGCATTATGGATTGTTTTTAATAAAATCAAATTTTTTTAAAGAAAAATTTCATGTTTTGTTAAAAAAATTTTTGCTTGCGTTTTCATTTTCTTAATTTTTTTGCCGACAACTGCAAGAAAAGAAGTGAAATGTCAAAAATGTGTTAAAAATGAGTGAATTGAGTAGTTTTTACTCTTTTTTTTCTCTTTTACACTCGTTCTCAGTTTTTGCAACTCTTTTCTTAAGAGGTATTGCCAGCAAGAAATTTTTCTTTGAAATTTATTTGATTTCATTTTGTTGTTATTATTTTTTTTGTTACTACAACTGTTCTGTTTGTTTTAGATTTTAGATTAGACAACGAATTTTTAATAAATTATTTTTTACATTTAAACATAAAAAAATACGAAATTTAAAATAAATTTAATAGCTAAAAAAGTGTTTAATTGTTGTGTGATAAAATAAAGAGAAAAGAAAATAAGAAAAAAAAAGAATATTTTTTTTTAACTGAAAAAAAGTGTTTGATTTGCAAAATAACATTTAAAGTGTTTAAATATTTAAACATAAAAAAGAACTTAAAACTTAGATAAAGTATAAAAATGGCTGAAGAAGTAGATCGCAACGATCCCGAATTGAAGTATCTTTCGGTGGAACGTAATCAGTTCAATGATCCGGCAACTCAAGCGGAATGGACACAAAAACGTTTAGTTTGGGTGCCTCATGAAAATCAGGTTAGTAAAATTGTAAATTAAATAATTTATAAACAAAAAAATATTAATAATTCTTTAATATATTTTTAATAGAAGTAAGTTATGCCTTTGTTTTTACCTGTAGTTTGTATAATTTTTGAAAGAAACAACCACAACTAACCAATTTGATTTAACGCTTTGAACCGGTTTTCTTAGTTTGATTTGTCTCATACATACTTTTTGTTCAACTTTCTTTAAAAAAAGGTTTGTGAGTCAAACCAAAAAGACAAAAAAAAAATCAAACATACGCTCACACTCAACAAATTCCCTCCCTGACAAAGAAATCTTCAAACTTGTTGCCTTTTGCTGTGTTTAATTGTCTGTATGTGAATGTGTCAGTGTGTTTACCTAATGACTAATCAATGAATTTATAATTATATTGATTTTTCTTTGTACACACACTCACACCCTCTCCAAAGCGGCTTATTATTCAATGATTTTTTCTGTTTTCTAATTCGTGCACATAATTAAAAACATATTTGCAATTGTTTACACAATTTTTCATAAAACAGACATTTTGTATTCCATTTCTTTAAACATGGTTTCAAAACTTTAACCAGTGATGACCTCATCATTGGCATCTGAACACTAAATCTGTAATAGTATGTTGTAGAGCAAAGTTTTGATAAATTTTAATTCATTAAATTTCAATTTAGTTTAAAATTTAGTCATTTTCTTGTGATTTACTTTTAAATTTAGTTTACAATTTGTTTTTTTCAAAATCCTGATATCAAAAATCTTTTATGTTTCAATTTCTATTTTTATATCCGTTACTTTTAATTTCGTTTTTAGGGCATTTTATCTGAAATTGTTGTTGTGCTAAAATTTCTTTGTAAAATCTTGACTCATGTTTATTTGCTAAACTTTTCGGGCTATATATTTCTTTAAAAAACCTTTTAATTTAACAAAATTTATCTCCATTTGCCTAAATTACCAACTAATTAAATGATTCATGTTATTTAAATATTTTTTATATGCATATTTATTTCTTTAGTTAATCATTTCTTGATATTTTTTTGAACAAAGCTTTATGGTAGCATATTTAATTTCTCTTTTGTTATTATTAATTTATTTATATAACTTTGTCATTTACATATATTTTTCGTATATTTTTTAAAGTCATTGAACTTTTGATTTGCTTTTAAACAAATTTTTAAGCTAAAAAAAGAAGAAAAATGTTGAATATTTAAAGAATTGCATTTTGTAAATATAAAATTTATATGTAAATATACACAATTTTAAGCTTTTTAAACAAAATTTTATTAAATAAACATTGTATGTCATAAAGATTCGATATGTGTTAAAATCAAACTGGCAAACAACACATAACTAGACTAAAGAATGTTTTTCTAAAAATATGTCCTGCTCTGAATTCGAATCTGAACTTAGAAATTGCCTTTCTTGTCAGATTTTCTCAGACAGCTTAGTCTACATTTTCAAAAATAATGTTTTCACCATATAAGAGCTTGTCCCGGGCGATGGGTGTTTGTTCTACCCCAAGCTAGATGGTGGGATTTGACATCACAACTTATTCCTATTTTCTTCTTTTTCCTTTGTGCCTCTTCAACCAGTTTTATCAGATCCGTGTCGTAGATTCGATGGGCAGTTAAATAAATGCAAGGTATATGTTGCCACGCCCTTGTTTCAGAACCGTTGCATCCGACAATCCTGTCGAGAGAAGAAATTTTAAGTTCTTGTGACGTGAGATACATGTTCTGGTGTAAAACCCTGTATCAGCGTAGAAAATTTGGAAATTTACGTGATTTACTTTCCAAACTTTTCTACGCTGATACAGGACCGCTGCTCTGTCTACTGGCGAGAGATTGATTTCCTCCTTTTAGAAGGTGCTAGTCCTTCTAATCGGCAGCTGCACTTTCTTCGCGGGAGTTACTGCTTATGATGCACCGTCTTAGATATTTTAGTGTTTTGAACAGCCCTTTCAATCGGCACCTTCCCAATTTTTAAATTGACAGCTTTAGAGGCGAAATAAGCCCTACTTTTGTTCTTTGCAAGACAAGCGATGGAGTTCTGCTAAATACATTTTACAAGTAGAGTTCCCTCAGGCTCTTCTTTCGTCGAAAGACTTCTTATTTTTTCACAGCCAGCTCAGCGGTTTGGCTTCCAAGATGGGCTCATTAGTCAGTTTACTGCCCAATCCTTTTTAGTAGACAGTAGACTTTAAGAGCACTGAAAGACCCTTCTTCTTTGCCAGTCCCAGCTTTGCGTCGTCCCAGGGAGGGGGTGCCATCAGCCTAAAAGACTTTTTTGGATTCTTTGTGTGATGCTTTCGAAAATATTTTCTAAAACACCAAAATAATAAAATAAAAAATTATTGTTGTAATTTTAACTTTATTTAATTAAAACTACAAATTTATGACAATAACTGTTAATCTATTAATAACTAATTATACAAAATTTTATTTTAAACACATTATTTATTAAAATTTAAACAATTTTTTCAAAGTAGAAACAAAAAATTTCCCTGCAACTGTGCTAATATTTATAACAAAAGTAAAAAAAAATTGTCTAACAAATAAAATACTAAACTAATGCAAATGTACTTCAGTCTACGCTCTATATAAAGACAATTATATACTTTTTTTATAGTTATTTTAACAATTTATTTTAATTATTATAAATAAACACCAACACTTGCAATCACGCAAATACTCAATATACAAACTGGCAAATATCTATAGAGAATATTTTCAAAAATATATTGAAAAACCTAAAGAATAGTTTATAACAATATATTATAATAATCATTATCGGTATCTGTTGTTTAGTTGTTGTTTGTTTGTTTATCTTTTATTTGTTCAGTTTTCTATACAATATTTTCTCTATTGTTTTGATATTTTAATTTGTTGCTCAAAGCCTCTTAATCATTAAAGAATGCGTGAAAAAAGAAAACAAGAAAGTGAACAATAATTTACATACATTTTAGCAACAGATTGATTTTTTGCAGTTTTTTTTTCTTTCTTTCTTTTGTTATTCTTTGCGTATTTATGTATACATTTAGAAATATATTCTAAGGCAATAGTAATGAAATTATTTGGAACAAAAGGCACTAAAAACAGTATTTGGTAGGGATGGAAAGTTCAGTACTTTTTCAGTAAATATCGGAAAATAGTGAGGTACCCGCAGGATATTTTCTGTACTTTTTCAAACTTATAAACTTTTGATTGACTAGTAGATTAGTCTAAAGTCTAGTCTGTAGTCTAGTCTGTAGTCTAGCCTATAGTCTAGTCTATAGTTTAGCCTTTAGTGTAGTCTATAGTCTATAGTCTAGTCTACAGTCTAGTCTACAGTCTAGTCTATAGTCTAGTCTACAGTCTAGTCTATAGTCTAGTCTATAGTCTATAGTCTAGTCTATAGTCTAGTCTATAGTCTAGTCTATAGTCTAGTCTATAGTCTAGTCTATAGTCTAGTCTATAGTCTAGTCTATAGTCTAGTCTATAGTCTAGTCTATAGTCTAGTCTATAGTCTAGTCTATAGTCTAGTCTATAGTCTAGTCTATAGTCTAGTCTATAGTCTAGTCTATAGTCTAGTCTATAGTCTAGTCTATAGTCTAGTCTATAGTCTAGTCTATAGTCTAGTCTATAGTCTAGTCTATAGTCTAGTCTATAGTCTAGTCTATAGTCTAGTCTATAGTCTAGTCTATAGTCTAGTCTATAGTCTAGTCTATAGTCTAGTCTATAGTCTAGTCTATAGTCTAGTCTATAGTCTAGTCTATAGTCTAGTCTATAGTCTAGTCTATAGTCTAGTCTATAGTCTAGTCTATAGTCTAGTCTATAGTCTAGTCTATAGTCTAGTCTATAGTCTAGTCTATAGTCTAGTCTATAGTCTAGTCTATAGTCTAGTCTATAGTCTAGTCTATAGTCTAGTCTATAGTCTAGTCTATAGTCTAGTCTATAGTCTAGTCTATAGTCTAGTCTATAGTCTAGTCTATAGTCTAGTCTATAGTCTAGTCTATAGTCTAGTCTAGTCTATAGTCTAGTCTATAGTCTAGTCTATAGTCTAGTCTATAGTCTAGTCTATAGTCTAGTCTATAGTCTAGTCTATAGTCTAGTCTATAGTCTAGTCTATAGTCTAGTCTATAGTCTAGTCTATAGTCTAGTCTATAGTCTGGTCTTTGGTCTAGTCTTTGGTCTAATCTTTGGTGTAGTCTTTGGTCTAGTCTTTGGTCTAGTCTTTGGTCTAGTCTATAGTCTAGTCTATAGTCTAATTGTTTATATCTTAAATTGTAAAATTTTTTCAATCTTGAGTACAAATTTTGTAATTCTTAATTTACAAAGCTGGTTCTTTTCAAACGTCCATACTCTCATTTACACATGTTTTATTATTTTGAAAAAAAGAAATAGAAAAAAACAAACAGTTTTTTGCTATTCTGATTTTCTTATTCGCTTTTTTCATTTCTTTTAATGGTGTCTGTCTTCAACACAGTGTCTTGTCGTGTTTATTCGACAATATTCAATAATTGTTGTTTTTTATTGTTGCTGTAATCTTTAAGAAAAGAATCTTTTTTAATAATTTTTTGTAGCGATTTGTTTAAGGGTTAATGAACTTCTTTTTTTATTATAACAAAAGCCTAAAGATCTTTTCTTAAGATTTTGAAATTTATTTTAACAAAAATAACTAGTTTTATTAATATTATTAAATATAAATTAATATTTTAAATATTTATTTTTTTTTTTTATTAAAATATATTTACATTTATAAAATATTTCCTTTAACACCTCGTTTAATATGATTTTTTTTTTCAATTAATACAAAATAAAACAATAAATAACTACATAAATAAATGTATAGATAAATTTATTGTTTGACAAATCAAATGCACGCCTTCAGAATTGTAATATTTTTGTAAATAACGCTCTCGCTCTGGCTCCATTATGTATGCGGAATAATGACTGTCAGTAGTCTTTCCTTCTTTTTTTTTGAATTTTTTGCTTTTATATATTATTTCTATCAATTGAAATATT